CTTACTAGTTTACCATGCCACTGGATATCGAACTATACGCACCTAACTTTAACATTACTTTCTTTCATGACATAGACATCATTTAAAAATAAGGCATTTTTTTGATATAGGGTCATATTTGAAGATGACCGTCCAACTAACTGTCTTCAGAATAATCATACAGGGTTTTTTTTTTCCAGTGGATTAAGATCATATTCACGAACATGTAAATATCATGTTCTGAATATTTAACAGGCAAAAACATCAGCTATTTCTTATCTATCGTTGCGAACATTCCATCTTTTTCATGATAAGCCATTCCGATAAGAATATAAGTATTAGCGCTAAAAGAATTTCTGGTATGGAGATGTCTGAATTACATCCCTTTTTATAGATAACACACAACCATAAAGATAAGAAAGATTTTGCAGTAATTCAATAGAGGAGCTTTTGTATGAACAAGCTAAACATATCAAATAACCTCAGTTTAGTATCTGAGAAAGCTGTAGTTTAATAATTGATAAATTGCTTTTCTTATCAATTCTTTTTGTTCTTGAAAACGTCAAGCTATTGATAATTTTTTCATGGTAACATCCACAGCTTATCATACTGGTATCTGTGTTATCTATATCCAATCTTACCATGGGAAAAAAAAAAATAGTATAGATTTTCGAGTCCTTTCGCCAGCACCAATCCACATGTTATTTGCTTATCTGTCTGAGCCTAGAGCTCTTGTAGCCTGGAAAATATATCGGTTTGGAAATATAAAGGAATAATTGAGTGCGTTCGTATGGGGCCTGAATGGCCGAGTATTTGGCGCTCTGTAAGACAAGTTTCTGTTTCAATTCCCGGTAGTGCTATGGATGTTTGTAGTGATTCGAATTCATTTTAAGACGTAAGTCCCGGTCTCATATCACTGTAGAGCGTCGCAGAGCCTAATCAGACTTCCTCTCACCCGCATCATTCCCAAACTGGCAAAAGGGGGCAACTCAGCTCCAGGCACAGTAGTAGTAGTAGTAATAGTAGTGTGTTCATGTTAATGCATGTAAAATGTAAAAATTATAATATTTGGGGGAAAATTTCAAAGTTGATTGTTCCTATTCTTGTATTACATAGAATTACCCCACGGTTTGACACGTTCTTTTACATAACCTACTTAATATACTCGTTTGCCAAATGCAATCTTCCGAATGTCTTTCTAAGATGGCAACTTTCATAATTCTTCGTTGTTATTGTTGTATTAAGTTATTATGTACTATTATCATTATATATGGCCAACGGCCATACCATACTGAATATACCGGTTCTCGTTAGATCACCGAAGTCAAGCATTATTGCGCGGTACTTGGGTGTGACCACCTCGAAACACCGCGTGCCGTTGGCATTCACAAATTTGGGACCTGAATGGGCGAGGATGGCGCCACAGGTTTCGAGGTTCGAATCCCGGCGGTGCCATGGATGTTTGTAGTGGTTCGAATCCACTTTAAGCCGTAGGTCCCGGTCTCCTATGACTGCTAAAAGAGCGTCACGGAGCCAAAGTCAGACTTCTACCTACGGGTGCTCCATCACAACAGAAGCTGCTTCCTTCCCCTTCAATCATGAGTACGTATGGACTCGTGGACTTGGCCAACCAAGTGGAAAAAGAAACAACAAACATTATTGTATATACTAGTATTTGCTCATCTCTCTCACGATTTTAATGCTGAAAAGTTTAATTAATATGTTAGATGTTGATTTCCTATATGCACTAGAGCGTACTAATACATAGTATAAATACTAACATTATGTACTAGTATAAATACTTCCACTATGTACTATGCAATATCTTAGTATGTGCACTAATATACGCTATTTACTAGTATATAGCGCAAATACTAGCATTGTGTACCATATATACTTGCACTATCTATTAGTATATTACATGCACTATCTGCTACTTATATGGCCTAGTATATCCTATCTACTAGTATATATAGTGCAATAATGGCACTATGTATTATATATAATTGCACTATATACTAGTATATTATTTTATGCACTAGACTGCGCTATTTACTAGTATATATACTTTGCAGTATGTATTAGTATATGCACTATTAATTTTTATTTACGATGAAATCCATTTAAAAATTCCTTAATGTATCTGATTTTTTTTATTTTATTATTATAAATAAATTAATACTTGGCGGATGAAAATATGATTCTTTACTCGATGTAATTTTTTATAAATCTATTAATTTATTTCATTTTTAAACTATGTTTTCCCTTAATTATTATTTAGTACATATTTAATCTCTACTATTCAGATGGCTTCTATTAGAAGCAGATGAATCAGACATTTTTATTTCCAATACTATTTAACCCAACGTGAAGAAATATAAATGTGAATTACTTTAGAATCTTCAACGACCCTGTTGGAGCTTCGAACATAGAAGCCGCGGACTTGTCTCGTCAAAATCAGACGATGTTTTTTGACGACACCCTTAAAGGAATATTTTTATAGCACAAAAACAAGAAAACAAAAAATAAACTGACAGACGATCACAGGGGTGGTTTCGGTGCTCTCGCAAATGACCCCTCAACAGAAAAATCTGCAGACCCCACCACCCAACCTTCCCCTGCAGCTACCAATCAAGTTTTTCAATTGACAAGTCCGCAAAATCCTTGCGTTCGGACCTCTTTCAGGTGCAGACGATTCTGCTCCCCATTCCACCCTCCGAGGGTAGGGCATTTCCGTTCCCCCTTCTTCAACAAAAGCCATCCCTTTTTCGAACCAGTCCCTCCATCGGTGACAAGCATAGGTGACAATGGGACTTAGGGCAATGTCGCGGGCCCCCGAAATCGTCTGAATAGGCACTCCTAGAATTCGTTCCCCCTCGTCCTCCCCGCCGGGGTGCTTTCCAAGGGCTACCTGAGGATCCCTCGCTTCCTCTGCGCAAACGATTATTTTATTTTATTTTATTTTTAAATATTTAATGGGATTTTTTTCTTTCTTTCCCTACTCTTCGTAAACACGGAAAACCATGGCTGCATGTCGGAATTTTGCTGATTTATTTAGATAGCTACTATGCAAGGACAATGTGATGTGTCTTCTTCAAAATCATATTTATTCTATGAATTTTTTTTTTTCTTCTGATCTTTTATGTTTGAAGAACTTCATGGTAAAAATCGGATAATGTTTTTTTTTCTCTTTGGAAAAAAATTGTACTTAAAATATTTTGGTGGTTGGTTCCATTCTTGTTTTATTTCTCACTTTTTTTTTTTTCCTATCATACTAAATCACGTTTAAAGATAGGAAATGATTCATATTTACAAAAGATAAATACTTTACTTTTTAGGTGGATTACTCACTAGTATTATATATATCTATATATATTCATAATTGTGATAATGGTGTTGAAACATTAAAAAAGGATAATTGCCATTTGTTATTTGTGCAACTGATATACTAAGCAAAACAGTAAAATAATATAAAAATTAGTTTTATAATAAGTAGAAAAAGATTTTATTACCAGAGCTATTTTATTATCATTCTAAAACTGGTGAGCATAATATATCCAAAATAACTAATTTGTTAAACAAAAATAACATCAACCTACAAATAAAAAAATTGTTCATTTGGTTTGTCGCTCTACGGTCATTTTTTGCACACTTTAGGCTAATTAGACCGAAACTTACAGTTTAACGTAGATTCCGAACTACTAATAAACATCCATGTCACTGCCAAGATTCAAACCTGTAGTTTGTAGGACCAAAGGTCAGAGACCTAGCCAATTGGCCATCAGGCCGCCAAAAAATGATGAGAGCAGAAATTGCATCGTCAATTAACCAACTTAATTGTAAATTATGTGCTAAAAATCGCATAATTTGTAATGATTTAATGTTCACATTCATTGGTTGTTTAAAAATGAAGATTATTCGGCTTGGAAAAGAACTTTGATATTTTGAAAATGATGATAAATCAAAATTGAACGAGTTGCATTTAATGCTTGTATTCAATACTTGTTCGAAAAGATGATAAATCTAGATTGAACGAGTTTCTCTATTACTGACTCTATTTATTAAAGCAAAAACACTCTATTTATTAAAAAGCAAAAACACTCCATTTATTAAACTAAAAATACTTTGCACATTTGATTTCATTGCTAATTCGAAAATGATATACCAACGCTGCGCTTAATACTCACATTCATTGATAATTTTAAAATGATGATTATTCCGCTTACACAAGGAACCTTGATATTTTGAAAATTATAATAAATCAAAACTGAACGAGTTACATTTAATGATTATATTCATTGCTAGTTTGAAAATGATGATAAATCCTTTTAGATTTCTCTTACAAAAACAAAAATCCAGACTCTATTGAAACAAAAACACTTGAGCAAAATCGTTGAACATTTGATTTCTTGGATAATTCAAAAATGATGATATGTCAACACTCCGATTAATACTCACATTCTTGATTGTTAGAAAATGATGATGATTCCGTTTAGATTTTTTTTTTTTGTACAAAACCAAAAATAAATGTAGATTATCTATTGAAGCAAAAGCACTTGATCAAAATCACTAGAACATTTGAACAAATGTTGAAGCGAAAGTTCTAATGTTCGAATTGGTGTTCAATCGAATGTTGAACTTGAACTAACATTCGATTCAACATTCGATTCCACATTCGATTTCATTAATAATTCGAAAATGATGATAAGCCAACAAGCCAACAAATAAGCCACATTCATTGACAGTTTAAAAATGATGATGATTCCGTTTAGATTTGGCTTACAAAAACAAAGATAAAACTACTGACAGCAAAATCATTTGAACATTTGATTTCATTGATAATTCGAAAATGATGATAAGTCAACACCGCGTTTAATACTCGCAATCATTGATAGTTTAAAAATGATGCTGATTCCGCTTACAAAAACAAAACTACAGATTCTATCAATTGACAATAAAATCATTTGAACATTTGCTTTCAAGTAATTTGAAAATGATGATAAGTCAACACTGCACAAATTCGCGTTCAATACGCAAATCTGTCGATTGTTTAAAAATAAGGTTGATTTCACTCTCAGAAGTGCAATTGAATGCAGGTTCTTATCTATTGAAAGCAAAATGTCTGCAACGTTTGCCTGCTTTGAAAATAATGATAATTCCACTTACAAATACAGGGGGCGAAACTGGCGATAAAAGAGATTTTTCAAAGTAGAGAGCGCTATTGAATACTTTCTGACACTTCATCTTTATGTGCAGGGATTTCTATGGATACCCTTTTAAAAGACTATCTCTTTTCAGCATGGCTCTCCCGCAGATTTCTCTGTCGCTATTCATTTCAAACAATGCATATGTTCTCTGAAATTGTTTGCTCTTTTCCCTATTGGCCCAATTTCTTTTAAAAATAAAATAGAAAGAATTTCTTTAAATCGGCAAGAATCTCGCATTTGACCACATTCCCGAAGCCTGAAAGGTTGTAGTTGTGGTGGTAGTCTAGGTTTTATTGCAAATCTAAATTTCATCAATGTTTGTTTCAAAATGTTCTCTGTGTTCTGTTAAGATGATCAGACAAGACAAGAAATTTCCTTGTCATGTTGATAAAGTGAATCTTCATCAAGGTTAGATTCAAAATGTTAATTCGCTGTGTTCTGTTGAGATGACCAGACAAGATTTTCTTGCCATGTTGAAAAAGGAATCTACATCAAGGCTTGATTCAAAATGTTCTCTGTGTTCTGTTAAGATGATCAGACAAGACAAGAAATTTTCTTGTCATGTTGATAAAATGAATCTTCATCAAGGTTCGATTCAAAATGCTAATTTGCTGTGCTCTGTTGAGATGGCCAAGCATGATTTTCTTGCCATGTTGATAAAGTGAATCTTCACCAATGTTTCAAAATGCTAGTTTGTTGTGTTCTTTTCAAATGATCAGACAAAATTGTATCACGTTGAAAAAGGGAATCGTCATCAAGGTGTGATTCAAAATGTTAATTTGCTGTCTTCTCATAACCAGGCAAGGTTTTCTTGTCACGTTGATAAAATGAATCTTCACCAAGATTTGATTCAAAATGTTCTCTGTGTTCTGTTAAAATGATCAGACAAGAAATTTTCTTGTCATGTTGATAAAGTGAATCTTCATCAAAGTTTGATTCAAAATGTTAATTTATTATGTTCCTTTGAGATGAGCAAGTAAGATTTTCTAGTCCTGTTGATAAAATAAATCTTCAGTATGTTGAAAATGATCGAATATTGTATAAAGATCATATCAAGATCATTTAAAGCATATTATCAGATCAAAGAATGTGTCACTTATGGTTTTTAGTGATATAAATTACGATGTGAAAAATGAATCGCATCTATTGAAATTTAAACAGAATTTAAATATAT